TTTATATGAGTTTTTATATGAGTTAAATATTCAAGATATATAAAGTTTCATTGTTATAGAAGGAAAATAATATTATATTTTTAGTCGAAATGTATATATATATTTTTTTTTTTTAAATTGACATTTATATCACTCAATAGAGCAAAAATTGCATGGTTAAATAAACAAAATATTTCTGATTGAAATTTTCAACATTGTTTATATTTTTATGTATAAAAATTTATAATTACAAGCATACATATTAACCAGCTTTGCTCATCAGCTCTTCTTTTAATTTATGTTAATAAAATATATTGTTTCCTTATTTTATTAAACATCTAATTTTTGCAATGAAACTTATAATTGCATTTTAAATACTTAAAGAACTTATACAAAAAAAGTTAAAAAGTTAACGTTTAAATTAATTTTGTCATTATATGCTTTACAAATTTTAGTATTGTATAGAATATAGTATTGTATAGAATAAGAAAATAATAACAAATAAAGTAAATAAGTTATGAAACTGTGTTTAATAAAAATAAAATGCTGGAAATACAACTTAATTCATGTATATAGCTTATTTAAAATATAAATATTAATATATTTATAAAAGTATAATATAATCTTAATGTTAATACTTTTAATATTAAATTAAAATTGAACATTACGCGCATGTAAGATTGCAGAGATGAATTTTATGCAGAGATATATTTGATGCACAATTTGTGTAGCACGTTTATATGAACCAAATATCGATTTATCATCTGGAGTTGAAAAGTGGATGTATTACCCTCAGAAAAATGGAAGTATTACCTTCAGAAAAGTGGACGTATTACCCTCAGAGCATATAGTTTACTTCCACTTTGTCTGGGGGCAGTAGTGCGCGGCAGCATTTTGCGATTACAGGTTTTGTGCCGGCATGTCTTCTTTCAGGTTCTTTTCTAGAATCAATCACTCAGTGAGCAGACTACATTCCAAAACACATTAAAAAAGATGTTGCATTGTTTTAGTCAGTGAGTGTACATTTGAATCGTACCACGTACCGCGTACAGCGCTATATAATCACACCCCATGATTGTAGAAATGCGTTATTGCTAACATCCCACTTCTTTTGTGATCTGGCTGTATCGTCCTATCATTTTCTATAGAGATGAGAGCCAATAAGTGAAAAAGAAAAAAGAAGTCCTACTATTTTATTGCATACTGCAGATTCTATTGTAAATGAACCTTAAATCAGATAACAAGATGAATAATGATGTGGAAATCGAGATCTTGCTCACGTAATTTTTATGTTCATTATCTGATATTATTTCTTATTAAAAGAAATTTAAGCGAATTAGGTTAGGTTAGGTTAGGTTAAGTTAGCATAAAGTTGAAATTAAGAATTATTTGATTGTATTAACCAATCCAAATAAATTAGTAAAAAATTAGAAAATAAATATAAAATAGAATCGTCATTTTTTACGCACGATGTTCTATTTTTATTTTTACAATTTATTTTTATCTTGTTGAAAAAAGTCGTTTGGTTTTTTAGGTTATGAAAATAAAGGATTTATATTAAATGCCCTTGTTACTCAAGGTGCTGCTGAGGTTGACGATCCTCGCGTTTTTTTTGGTAGCTCTATATTGTTATCAGACGTCTGATGGAAGACGCTGGATTGTATTCAACTTGCAAACAAAAAATGCGAGCCTGGCAAAGGCTCCTTCAGCAGTGACTGTTTATTCTGTTAATTATTTATCTTCAACAGCGCGCATTTTGCCACGAAATCAGACAAATTATAACATATGGTGTATTTTTACCAAAGTTGCCTCAAACTCGCCCATAAGACGGAAATTTCAAGTGTTCACAGAATCTTTGCTCAGATTCGCTTCTATAAACATTACTTTTCATGTGATAAGTGATGATAACAGTCAAAACATAGCTGAAAATGTTATAAAAAATGTTATGATCAGCACTGGAAAATTTATGAAAGTATGTCCTTGTATGTTTTGTATCTTATTTTTAATGAATCAAAATATCAAATATGTTCTCTTACATATATAACATTGCTATTAAAGTGTTTTTAATATCTTGAATACAAAAAAATATTAAGGAAATATATATGTTGTGTTATATAAATAATTTAAATTATATACATATATACTTATTTATTTATTGATATTATGTCTTAAAATATTGTACATGAAATTATTATTTAAGAGATACTATTTATACTGCCTTCATTTCATTCTTTTTTTTATTTATTTGGAACTTGAAATATTGAAACCTTTATTTATTCTCAGGTATTTTATTACAATGTACACAAATTAGCTGCAAAATTGGAGGATATTGTGTCAGTTATGTCGCCACATTTTAGTAGTAAACCAGGAACATATTACTCAGATGCATTGTTCTTCATTTCGCTCGGTTTGCACAGAATTGCACCCAATTCTCAAAAACTTGCCATAATGTTTGATGCAGATACAAAATTTCGTAGAGATGTGAAGGACTTGTTCGAAGAATTTAACAAGTTTGGAAAAGAAGCTTTGTTTGGTTTGGCTCCAGAGCTCACGCCAGTTTACCGACATGTTTTGTATTTATATCGTAATAAACATCCAACGACAATGTTTGGAGAACCCCAACATAAAGGTGGATATCCTGGTTATAATAGTGGGATAGTGCTTTTAAATTTGGAAAGATTACGGAAATCACGTGTATATAATGAGTTTATCAATAAAGATAGTGTGGATGATATGACGAAGAAATATCACTTCAAGGTAAGATTGGACAATATCACAACTTATAAAAACTGTATAATCGTAAAACAGTTTGTGAAATGTAAATGAAATAAACATTTGAAATATTATATGTTATATGTTAACTCAGTGTGAGCTAGGTATATCCACACTCGACACATTAATCTCTTTAATGTTTAAAATTACTATTAATTTGATTAAAATTTTAATAAACATAATTTTCTTATAATTCTGAATATTTTATTTGTAATTTTTATTTAGCGGGAGATCGGTTGTGTCTTATGATGTACTTTTAGATTTAAGTACTTTTAGGTACTTTACCATCTAACTCATACCGGGTTAAAATATGATATAAATTCTTTAGATCATATCTCATTAAGATATGATCTAGAGAAAAAAAAATATGATTGTAATAACCTAGATAACGAAGCTTCCGAAGACAGACTTTGAACACAACATGCTATCAATTTTTGATGCAGAAAACTAACAAATTCCACAGTTTGCACTATCTGACAGCAAACTGTCAGAAATAGGACAAAGCCTGATTGTATTTTAACAGATTAATGACAGAAACAGCAAGATTTTGCAATTCCTGTTTGGTTTCTGTTGCCAGTCGTTAGTCCCGGCGTACAAATTCTGTTCATTTTTTGCCATCAATCTGCTGGCAAATCAGCAGGATCTATCGACAGATCTATAGCCAAATGCAGATACAGATGGTTATGGTTTTTATACTGAGAATCTGATCAAATTTAGTACCAGTTTGTTCACAAACTGCTAACATTTTGCTATCAGGATAAATGAAGACTATAGAATGTGTGTATATAGAAGTATGTAGACCTATTGTTATAAAATATAAACTATATTATGTATTTTTAAATTGTATGTGTAATATATAGAGATGTTTTATTTGAATCATAGATAATTTTGAGTCGATTTTTTCTTAACATAAAAATTCATAGAGAGTTATTTTACTTATTACAACTAAATTCTTTGTATAATTATGTTTGCAATTAAGTTAAATCTCAAATTAATTTTTATAGAAATGGAGTTGAGTGTAACTTAAAACGATTTTACTCATTACTTAACAATATTTGATACTTAATATTTAAAAAACATATCTAAATTTCTCATTACAAAATTAAATTTAGAGAAGAACATATTCTAGTCAATTTTAATGATATCTAGTTTTTTTTATTTAAATTTAATTTAATCTTAAAAAAAAATATATATGTATGGTATGTGCGCGTGTGCGTGCGTGCATGTGTGTGTATGTGCGTGCGTGCGTGCGTGCGTGTGTGCGTGTGTGTGCATTTATACCCAGATAGCAAAATGCTAGCAGTACACTGGCAATATGCCAATAAACTCGGTCATGATGATGCAGTAGATTTCTCAATTCACTATTTCTTCATTAAACTTAACAACAGTTGTCAATGTAAAACAATAAGAATGCAACAAAAATTGAGCATTGTCTGCTACAATGGAAACGCAGCAAAGCTATCATATTAACAATTTATCATATCAACTTATCATATCAAAAATTGATATAAAAATACAGCAAAAATCGGGTATATAGCTTGCCGTCACGACATGATGAAAAAACTCGATATAAACTATGTATCTTATCATCTGTTAAAAACAAAAACACAGCAGAAATTGTACTCAAATACTCAATTACATGTAATCATAAAAATATAGTACAGTTTCAGCAAGAAATTGTGTTCAAAATTCAAATAATAGATTAATATAATGAAATTTATTAGTTTATATTTTAAGTTAAAGAAAGGAATATGTACAATTTATACATGTGTATACATATGTTCACGAATTCTATTATCTCTTTAATTTATATTAAATAAACACATTTCTACTATTGAAAACAAAGTAATTTTAAAGTAAAGCTTATAAGATAAAAATTGAACTCTTAATTATTTTATGAAATAATATCGATAAGTAAACAATTTTGAATAGATCTAATCAGACAATATTTAAAAAAATGTTTTTAAAGATGTTTTTTTAAATATTTTTAAAAACATTAAAAATAATGGTAATTAAGTTAAGCTTTTTTTTAAAAAAAAAAATTATTTTATTTAAGCATGGTTATTCTACAATGGTTATTCTACAATGTGTTTTTGTTTTCTGTTTTTTTTTTACATTTTATCTTTTTGCTTCTTATCCGGTTTTTTGTTTTATGTCGCCCGAGATAAAAATTAACGAATTTCAGAAGAAACAGGAAACATGTAGCAAGAAATAAAATTGTCGATAAAATGCAAAGGGGATTGCAAAGGGGGAATCGATAATTGTATTTCTTGCTACGTGTTTTCTGTTTCTTCCAAAGTTCGTTAACTTTTATCTCGGACGACAAAATAAAAAATTGGATAAGAAGTAAAAAAACAAGATGTAAAAAATAGCAAAAAGTAAGAAATAGAAAACAAAAAGCACATTGTAGAATAACCATTAATGTTTGAAAAACATTTTTAATTAAAAGCATGAAAAAATGGATTAAATAATTTTTTTTTAAATTTATTAAAAAAACATTTGTTTTAAGTTTTTTTAAATAAAAGTTTGTTTTATTGTAAGAAATGTTTTTTTAATGTTAAAATTATTGAACAAAATTAGAAAATATAACAATGTAGAATCTTTTTTTTAATTCATCATTTTTTTAACAGTATTTAAGGAGATTCTTAAAGTCAACTCGAACTCCGATGTCACCAGAGGTTGTGCCGCGCGCCACGTATTGACGTGTCTTTATATATGTATTACCACATCAATATCTCACGCAACCTATAATACATACATGCAATCGCATCCGTGTTAATTTTCGTATAACAAATTGTTTGTTCGTATAAACTATGTATCTGACAACCACTATTTCGTACAGATTGCAAAGCTTTCATATCAAGCAAATGTTGTCATTGACTTGACATCATGTTACACTAAGAAATGGTAAAAATATATCAATTTTGAAATTTTTGTCGTTTTCGGCATAGATTCTACTTCCCAGACACGTATTAATGCTTATACTTTAATCCTGGAAAAAGATTTTCGAATCGAAAGAGGAAAAAAAAAATTTGTTACATAAAAATTACATGATTTAATTGGTAAAACATGAGGTTTTAGGATCCCTTTAAGGAGATCTTAAAATCATCTATTACCGACTAAATCATATAATTTTTGATAAATACTTTTTTCTTTTTCATAGATTCGAAAATCCTTTTCCAAGATTAAAGTATACGCACATAATATGTGTTTGTAAGATGGAATTTATGCCAAGAATAATCAAAAATTTTGAAATTGACATATTTTTTATCATTTCTTAACCTCAGTGAAGTTGGCATCTTATTTTTCAAAAAATAAAATTTTTGTCAGTTTCGAATGCAGCCCGAAGAGTTCCTGCCCAAAATGAAAAATCCTGGCTAATTAATACAAAAATCGAAAATTAAAAATTTGGAGTGCCAACTTCATAAAACACAGAATGAAAAATTGCGATATTTTCTAAACCAGTCTTAGCGCTTTAAATGATAATAACTTTTGATAATATTCTAGAGGTGCTATTCAAAACTGTCATTAAAACTGCCGTAGCGTTCAAAAATGTTTTATTTCTCAGATGTGAGAAAATCAGACATTCAAAAAAATCGCCATATCTCTTAAACCATTGGTCCTCGCGCTTCGAGCGTTAGTAACTTTCTTAGACTTTTTTAGAACTCGTGGAATGTCCAGAATTGTCGACAGAATTGCCAGAACTTTATCCCTCAGTTGTTGAAAATTTTCTAATATCCGAGGGGTAAATGTTTTTTAAGGGGGGAAATTCATTTAGGCGAGTGAAAACGATCAACGAACAATCTTCGTGAATTTTTTTTTTAAAGAAGAAATTATCCGATTATTTTGAAACTTAAGATATATACCATAGTTTATTGTTATTTTCTACATTAAGAACGTTTTTTTTTTCTTTTTTTTTAGAAAAAGTTATTGTAAAAAATGGTGGAGTTACAGTACAATCTGTACCGAAGATCGCGAAGTGAATTGTCAAATGATGGGATTTCTCCAATTTTTTATAGTCTGAAACAAAACGCAAAAGAAGTATTGTTAACATTCATAATTTCTCATTAAACCTAAAAAAAGTGAAAAAAATTTAAAAATTGAAGAAATTGCACGCTTGTGAAAAAAAAAATTTTTAGCAAAATTTTTACTCAATTTTGCTCTGAAAAAATACTTTAAAATAAATATTTTGTAAAACAATTATTTTGTGATACTTTTAAATTTAAGGAATTATAAGTATTATTAAAATGTGTGCCAAATTTCAAAGTGATTGATAGTACAATAATTTTTGAGTGAGATTTTCCGCCAATTTTAAAAAAAGTTTTGAAAAAAATGAGTTCAAAGTTTCGAATAGTAGAAAGATAATGTTTTCATCAACTTACCAACCAGTTAGTCAGAAATCTCAGGCCCATACAATAGTCTTTCTGCTTCTTCATAAAACTCATTTTGTTGCAAAAATTATTATATTTCTTTCGGACTACTTTAGAACTTCTTTAGTACTATCCAAGCTGCATCACTCTTACCGTTGTATTCGAGACTTGTCAGTAATTGGCGTAACTTTTTTGCATCCAATGATAATATTTAAATAAGCCATGTTTTGCAAAGAAAAATATTTTTAAGATATGATATTTTCATTTTATGAAATAAAAAAATTTCACATTTTTTTGAAGGTTCTAAATGAATTTCCCCCTTTAAAAGTTCTAGAAAATCTGTCGATAGTTCTGAACTTCACGAGTTCTAACGAAAGTTATTAACGCTAAGATATGTCGTGATTTTTTTTGTCTGTCAAATCGAAAGTTTTCTAACACCTGATGGATGAAAATGTTTTTGAAGTTCCGACAATTCAACAGTTTTGGGCATCCCGTTTTAACAAAAGTTAGTAACGCTCGAAATATTAGAACAGTTTAAGAATTATTGATTTTTCATATGTTTAATTGAAAAATTTCTAACGCTGTTAAAAATGTTTTGTAAAAAACTGATTTGTT